CAAATCTTTTTTCAAATTTCCAAAATTTTGAAAATTTTCCGAGATATTAAGAAAAAACTAAAGCCCCATTTTTTTCCCTTAATTGTTTATAACTTTTGTAATTTTTTATGGCGCGTTTTCGGACCTTTCCTTAAACTTTCTAGGCAAAAATACGAATCGAATGACACCTTGGTCGTAATTTTTGGACAGGGCTGAAAAAAGTTACAAAAAAAGTACATGTGGACTAGACTATTTATGACTGTCTAGATGGATAGAATTACTTGGGATTGTAATGTCAGTTTTCTGAATACATTGAACTCAAATTTATTATGATCATGTGTTATGGTCAAGTCTAAGATACTGATCTGTTTTGAGTGTGAACGTTTCTATTGAAATTATTCATATCATAAATTGGTTCAGGTATTTTGTAGTACCTCTGAAACAGGCGAGAATATCGTCTACATATCTGTACCAAAAATGAATATGATTTCTACCCAGGTCGGGATTTACTATATAGTGGTCTCCAAACTGTTCATAAATATGTTTGTCTGCTAAAAGTAGACTGATTATGAGCCTTCTGGTGAACCTGAATCATGTTTATGAAATTGGTGTTGGCAATTTCAAAAAAAGTAGTATTGTCTACTTTGGCTTCATTTAATATATTTAAAATGAGAAACTTACAATCCTTGAACGGTAAGTTGGAGAACAAACATACTTTCCACATCGATTGAAACTAAAATTGAATAATGTGTCATGGTTTGGTTACTTATTTTTTCTACCGATCAAAACAATTGAACAGATAGGACAGAATGATGGTTTCAACGCAGATAAAATCCAGAAGTCCAGGAAACAAAGCCTCAAGTTTACGTACAGATTGGTATGTCCTTCAATCAAACAATCAGAAATCAATAAATTTGTAACTTTGACATATTTTGGTGAAACAGCAAGATGTTTCAGAAAAAAAATGGGGTAGTGGCATTCAGAATATCTAATTTCCTCTTGAATGCCAAATATGAAGCAGAAAAGATGGAGAAATCTGGAGTTTAGAAGCTTAAGTGTCCGGAGTGTAATACTGTTTATGTGGGAAGATGTGGCCTAAATTTCTCAAAACGGTATGCTGAACATGGAAGGTCCTTCAGGCTAGGTAAAAATGATGCACATTTCCAGTATAATCAACCCTCATACATCAAATTTGATAATGAATAGCAACTCTATCAAGAAGAATACAAAAGTAGAGTGAATTCTGAAATGGAATCCTTTCAAAATGAAATTCCCGTTAGCGACATCAGTTGTCGAAATTACAAAAATGTTTCTACCTCTAGAGTATCTATATGGTCTAGCCTCAGTGGGACACCTTGTACATACACAGTGTGACTCGTGAACAACAAGTAATTCCCGAAGGAATTTCGAACCGAAATATCGCTGAGTACCAATTTCTGTCTCTCTTTCCAGAAGTTTCCCAGCGAATAAGAAATGAAATCTAAATTCGAAGTTCTGTCGTTAAAAGTCTAGATAGATAAAACATAAGATGCAACCGTCTCGACAAACAATGATCGTTCAAAAATTCTCTCGGCCGACGCTGACCCCAACTTCCAATTTAATAGGTTTGCTGGAAATCTTGTTATACTGTTTCAGTTATATTGTCCCTAAACTTCCACGGCGTCAGATTTATTGAAAAGGATTCAGGGACACTTTCAATAAATTGAGTAGCAAAAACGATAAAAATTACAATTCGAAGCATAAAGTTCATTTTTATCGGTGTTGAAATAAGAACACTCAGAGCAAATATTACTGGAAGAATTCCATCTGGTTCAGATCCATAAACAACGTTCTTCATAACTATTGAAAAATATGTCATTTATGTGACCATTTCTTGTTGGATAATTAGGCAAACTTATCCGTGACTCACATCTTCAGACGAATTACAGTTGACCAGATTCATAACTCACTGATTTTGAGGCCAATCACAGAAAAGCAAATTCATTTCCACTACAGTTTTCATTATTTTCATTCGCAAGTAAGCTTCGAGAATGTATCTATTTCAAAATAATTTCCTAAACGTCAAACATACTCGTTGAACTCATTATGTTGAAAACTGATTATTATTGAAAGATTATTCAGTAGAGCTTTGGGCTTGAGTTTAGTCGTAGATGTAAATCATACCTACGGCAATTTTCCACTACTCAATATAAAAACCATTTGAAATTGATTGAATAGCAAAACTTAGCAATTTCGAAAGTTCCATATGTTACGTATATCCACACTAACTTGGCTGAATGCGTCGTTGGTCAACATGAAGACGGCTTCTTTGAACTTCCTCTTGAACCAGTGTTCCTCCCTATGGATGATCCCAGCTTGGGACCACTTGATGTTATGTTGATGAGTGGATGTTTTTCTTATGCTCGCCAATGTAGTTTTAACGATAGAGGATTGCTACACTCATATGGTATCCGGTAGATTGGTGCTGCTTGGATTCGTGATTCGCACACTGCGTCCTAGTAATTCCATGATTCCAATATCCTTGCATAATAATTTTTTTTGATACTTCATTTCATTGTATTTTTATTCCACTTCTTTGTCTAAATGTAATTGAAATTTTATTCCTAATTTAACCCTTCGTTTTCATTACAAATCATCGTTCGTTGATATTTTTTTTATCCATTTTTGCTAACTTTATTTACATTACTTTTGTTTTCAATCAACCAAGTATTTTTGGTGTTTTCAACAGTTCTAACTTTCCATCCATTTTCATTGTATCAGTTTTTCAATGGATTTTGAATTTGTTTACATCATTTTGAGACTATAAGTCAGAAATTTGAACAATCACCAAGAAAAAATGTCATCAACTTCCACTTGGTTGTGTTCACTCTGTTTGTATTCCTCCTATTCCTCTTTCTATATTGTTTTCGTTTTGTTAAAATAGACTTTCATAATGAGTGATCATGTTTATGAGAAAATTCAGCTTTCTGGACAATCTTTCAACATTAATAGCAAGACAGCTTGTCTTCCAACGTTTCACTAATTTAGATCCCTCAACATTTCAAAATCCAGTCTCAGCACTGTATACAAATATTGAAATAATTGGGTACTCAATTAGTATCTCCATCTCTATAGAAACTCGTACTCGTACAATTTTTCGATGTGCACTTATCTAATTAGATAGTTTAGAGATACCTGAAAGCAAATCAGTGCATTGAAATTGAAAACTCAAGCCCGGGAGTTTAACGCTCTTCAATATTCATAATTAGCTATGGCCTTTTGCTGGCTTTGTAGTGAAATATCAAGTAGAAGATTAACAGCGAAATTCACCTGCTTCTGATTTGGGATTCGAGTTATATCAAAATAGGATATTTACTCAGAGTAATCCCTTTTGATAACATTGGTATGGATAAACGTGTATGTGGTATATTCTGAATGAATAAATATACTGCATTTTGATAAAGTGAATTGGAAGATACTTGGTGAAATTTTCATAATAACGAATTCAAGTTGTATTTTATCGTGTGATTTTCACTACATAGTTTATAATAATGAAGCTATTGAAATCACAAACTTCCATACATAAAAAAATCCGAATCAATGAAAATGGTTATAACATAACACAACCTTGTTTTCGTTTTTGTGATACGAATCTGATCAATACTCCGCCCCTGTCGTCTTGTTCAATATGAATTATCCGCGGAGAAAAAACTCGTAAAAATGTCTTTCAATCCCACTTCCTCACCCCTCTTCACCTTTCCCAAGAGAGACAAAAGCCCTTCGCGAATTTCGGTTATGATGATCCTTCTAAACAGAGAAGTCCATGGAGTGATATTTTATTACAGCATCGTATCAGTCTCCTGCCACTCCCCGATCACGTTCCAACCTATCCAAGCAGAAAACTACCAAAAATGTCGTGGGAAACGATATTCCAGATCCAAATTGTACAATCACAATAAACGTTGGGTCAGACCAGCCCCAGAAAACTAGGGTGATAGGCTTCGTTTCTGAATGGATCAATGCCTACACATTCATCTCACGTAAGTATATGTCTGAGCTCTGTACCGGAGTATTTGGAATATGTTTCATGGAAAGTTTGTATTGATCTAATATCAAAACGCAATCAATATTTTGTATTTCTACCTCCTTCCTCTCTATTCAAAACTGTGGGAAACTTACAAGAAAATTAAGAAAGAAACTAACTACTGAAAATCATTGATTAATTGAGGTGAATATTCAAATTTCGTGGGCTACATACATTAGTAATATAGCTAGGAGAGTTCTAAGCCATTCTTTATGGAAAAACACGTGGCAATTTGAGCAGGTTCATTCTGGACCTTTTGCCAGACGTCCATTCTGTGTGAATTAGGCTTTAGACTTCCAGACCACCTCCACTCCTCCAATTTCACCGTCATACAGTCGACCAATCGGAAGCTACCGCGCGTACAGCGGTAGATGTAGATGAACAATGCAGGTTCTGGCTCGCTTCAAGGTCGCGCGTCGTTGGTAAATGTTTCAGCGAGAGAAACTTTAGTGAACGGAAGAGAGAAACGTGTGACGTAATCAATGCAGGATAGAATGAGTATCGTAGAGATTCAAAGAGCGTGGATCCCTCAGGCCTTCTTAGGCCTTCACCCGTGTGCCCTCTTGTCGCGCACTAATCTCTGCATCGACTACGTCACACGTGTCTTTCTTCCACTCAGTAAAGTCTCTCTCTCTGAAACACTTACCAACGACGCGCGACCTTGAAGCGAGCCAGAACCCGCATTGTTCATCTATATTTGAACTTCCCGCTATACGCGCGGTAGCTTCTGATTGGCCGACTGTATGACGGTGAAATTGGAGGAGTGGAGGTGGTCTGAAAGTCTAGAGCCCAATTCACACAGAATGGCAGAGACGAGGCGCGGACCTTTGTCCCTTCCGTGTGAACTGAGCCTGGACCATAAAGGTTCAGAATGAACCTGCTCAAATTTGCACGTGTTTTTCCATAAGGAATGGCTTAGAACTCTTACTATATTACTATAGCTATATTACTGTACACTCTTACTGTACACTATGTACACTCGTCTTCAAGACATGTTCACAGTTCCAGCTGTTGAGCATGTTTTGTTTGTTGGTGTGAGGCATAAAAGTTGAGAAGTGTTTTGCGTATTCAGCGATTTTTTGCTATCGAAAAAAATGGACCAAAGAACTTACATGAAATGTTATACAAAAAAAAGATTTAAGTGCTCAAAGACACTTGGAATGTTGACAGTGGCATACGGTGATTGTACTCTCAGACAGAATAATGTTCACTTCAAGTGGGACAAGCAAGTGAATGACGACTCTCGTCCTGGGCGCCCCAGCACATCCACAACCGATGAAAATGTTGAGAAAGTGAAGAAAATTGTTATGGAAACTCGTCTAATCACTATCGGAGAAGTTGGTGAGGATGTCGACATATCGGTTGGCTCATGTCATGCAGTTGTTCGTTAAGTTTGGGCACGAAGCGTTCGTTCCAAAATTGCTGAATTTCGATCAAAAAGAACCGTCGCATAAGCATCGCTCAGAAATTGTTGAATGACGTCAACAATCCAGATTTGCTTGAAAGGATCATAACTGGTGGCGAATCATGGTTATATGGTTATGAGATCGAAACCAAAGCCCAATCCTCCCAATGGAGGAGCCCAGGAAAGCCAATATCACAAAAAGGACGCCAAGTTCGGTCAAATGTTGAGATTTTGCTCACTGTGTTTATTTATTACCATGTAGAACATCTCTTCATTGTTTGTTCGTAATTTTGTGTCTAAAAACAACACCATAATCCCGCTTCAGCCACCGTATTCACCAGATTTGCTCTCCTGCGACTTTTTTCTCTTCCCATTATTGAAGAAACCTATGAAAGAATGGCGTTTTGCGACGATTGAGGAGGTAAAAACCGAATCTCTGAGTGAGCTCAAGGGCATACCAAAAATTGATGAATAAATGAATATTTTTTGAGAAAATGAAAACACTCCTAATTTTTCAACAGATATGAAAACGCTACACAACGTAATTTGTGGAATAGCATTGATATAAAATGACTATATAAAGAATTGTTGTTCTTCATAGAGAGTTTTCATTGTAGTTATTCCTTTTTTACATTTCCTTGAAAGTTTTCCATATGTTTGTTCAATTATGGAGAAACAGAAAGTAAAAAAGCTTTTTTTCCAAATAATTGGTACTCCTGAAAAGACCTCAAAAGACCTACTTTTTGAGGGAAGTTTATGTGCCCATTCAATACCCGCTATAACTTCTTCTCACATGATATTAAGTAAACATTCAATTTTCATTCCCAACAAACTTTCTATTACGTAAAGCAACATGATCGATAGAGCTGTATCAACTATGCATTACTTGAATGATTAGGCTAACGATGAAAGCATATCATTATTCTGCATCATATTTGCATGGCCTGAAATAATCAGTATAGTCTCAGTTTTTTTCAGTATAGAGAATGTTTATTGTAGTATATTTCTCATTGAAACTTCCTCAATGTAGAACCAGTGTTACTTTTTTATATCGTATGAAAAACGAATGTTTTTAATTATGTATTATCATCTTGTGATGCACTGGAACCTTTGGTGTAGTAACAAATATCACTGAGGTTTTTTCCCAACANTGAAAAATTTTGCACCTGCGAAAGATGGATACTTTTCAAAAAACGATGTAGAGTGTTTTTGAAGCCTTAAATTACCATGTCTCGTTGGGTACGGATGAATGCTAGCATGCACTTGTAAATATACAGCGTGTAACAACGAAAACTTAACAGAGCCGTTTTTGAATATAAAAAGTAAGATTTTTAAAAATAGCTTGGACACGTCGATTGATAATTAAAGGGGAACATCTTTCAGACTAATCACATTTTTTGTAGTACGCACCCCCTCGGAGGGGTGCGTCCGACGACCCTTATTTAGATAGGGAAAGTAGGTCGAGTGGCACCTTGTTCCAAAGGTCTTTCGAATACCTTTATATCTCTGTTGAAAGAAAATTTTTGTAACGATCAGTTTTCGGGATAATTTGAAGATTTAAAGGTATTGTTATTGTTTTTAAGGAATCTTCACAGAAAAATCCTGCACTGACGCCATGTCGGATATAATCCAACGCCCTTCGTGGTATTAGCCAGGGGAGTTGTTGTTTTCTGATAGGCGTCAGTCGACTCAACCTACTGTGTAGGTTTATCCGAGACTGGCTTGAACGTTTAAAGTTCATTTCTTTAGATTTGTTTACTGCCAGTCTTCAAAACATAGCCCACTGACTAATAACAAAATAATATGTCCAAAGAATTCAATTTGAAATTAAGAAAATAGTTTTGTAATACCTCCAGAAGAATGGGTTTAGCAAAATTTGAAAGCAATGAAAAGTAAGCAACCTGTAGCCATTTATCATAGTTTTCTTCAATAGCATGTCTCTTTCAAAGAACAATCAACTGAAGAATACTTTAGGAAAAGTGAATTATTTTTCAAATAGCTATTTGGGAAATTTGTGGTGTTAATAATCACATTTCACAGATTTAACGCATAATAATAACGTAGCTTCGTCGGCATATAAACAAGTGGGAGCTCCTGGGAGAAAGTTCATTAATATAAGTAATGAATAACGAAGGTGCCAGGACAGATCCCTGGGGGACACCTGTATTGTTTATTTGTGGAGATGACGAGTTAACAGAAGTTTTTGACTCAGTCCTATGACCATCTCTATCTATTAGATATGAATGGACTCAATCGCACTCCGTTAAAATAAATACTATTGTTGTGTTAGTTAATATACGAATCATTTTTTGAAAAAAGCCCTGCAAAGCTACATTTCTCATATGGATAAGGTTTCAAATAATATATAGAATGGAAATATCAACAAAAGCGGAGCTGTTTCTGAAGATTCCGAATATTGCCTGTTTTCCTTATTTCTCGACACGACGATTTATTTCCATTGCAACTGAATGAAATAAACCGCCAATCTGCGTTAGTCATTGAATGTTTGAAATATGAGGGTTGCCATCTGAAAAGATAAAGGTCGGAAAACAGTGGATCAGATTACTGCATCCAGTGAACCGAAAAATATCAAAGATTATAATCGAATTGCTACGCGATCCCTGCTATTGGCTCTCCAGGAATCTTCGGGCTTGACCAGTTTCATTCGCGAAATTCCTGAATGTTCACTTTGAACAAAACACTTGTCAATATGATGCGACAGGCCTTTGGGAGAGAAACGATGCGTTGCTAACAAATTGAATTATGCATTTTCCCGATATTCTATAAAGAGGGTGAAATTAGATTAGGTAGCTACGTGAAATGAGCAGATTATAATGAGGCTGGAGATTCCTGCTGTGATGTTGAATCTGTTTGAATTATGGATACTGTTATGATAATATTTCTTCTGTAAGCAATCAGATGGAAGTTTGCGTAAATTAAACCTGTGATATTGAAGAAGGAGTGTTGTTGTTTTCAAGACTCAAGGTTCTCATGGGATAGTTATTTAGATTAATCCGTATTTAAGGTTGAAGTGTATACAATACTACAAATGTTCAAGGAATATTAGTTTGAGGCCTCATCAAAAAGATGGAATTAATTTATTCAGAGGCAGGCAAGCTGCACTTGGATATTGATGAAACCAAGAGTGACATCGAGACTGATATGAGGAAAACCATAAATACTTACAGAGGACAGACACTATCGGAAAGAAAAGGATTGTCTCTTTATTGGCAATGAAAACACTGCTGACTATACTAGAAATGGATACTCAACCATTTACCCTGAAGTTTGAAAATCTAATGAATTTATTTTGGATCCTCTCAAGCTAACCTTATAGTGGTTATAGCTAGGACTCCAGATGACGCTGGCAAAATATACTCTGCCATATACATAAGCAAAATATAAGAATTTGATAACTTCTTGCTCGTTTGAAGTTTCGCAAATCCTACTAATGAGTCCTATCATACTGTTACATTTGTTCATGGTATATTCGCAATGTAAATTGAAACTCAATCTATTGTTGAAGATGACTCCCAAATCCCTAATATGGTTGTCCTTGTTCAGATTTTTCCCAGGTAAATTGTAGTCAAATTCAATCAAATATTGATGTTTCATAAATGAAGTAGTCGAGCATTCATTCGAATTGAAGAACAATCTGTTGCAATATTGTGCGAATCGATAAAGGTCAGATTGGACGTTTAAGCAGTCTGCCTTTGACTTCATTCTTCAAAAAAAATCTTAAGGTCGTCAGCGTACAACAATATTTTGGAAAATTTGAAGCATTGTCCAGGTCATTCATAAAGATTGAGAATAATAAAGGACCCCGGTGGAAGCCTTGTGGTACTCCCGACGCTACAGCAATGGGTGTTGATTTGTCTGTGATCTATTGAAGACATAGGAGAAGAACTACGCAGTAGATAACCATGTACACCGATATCAGCAAGTCTGAAGATGAGTAAATTATGATCTATAACGTTACAGCAACAACATGTTACAGCAACATGGCAATAGCCAGTTCTATAAGCAGCCAATGTGCATGGAAACAATATGTGGGAAAGATTTGCATGGATGAATGACATTGATCATAAATCAGTCACAATACCTATTATATTTGCAGGCTCAACTGCTCTCTATTTTTCAATAATGTTGATGAGTGGAT